GGCGGGGGTGGGAGGGCAGCCCTGCCACTTGTGGGGGAGCTCCCCCAGGCAGCTCCATCCTCGCCCCACTGGGGAGAGCGTGGGAAGCAGGAGCACCCACCACGGCAGGATGCTGGGTACCCACGTCGGGCCGGCACGCTCGCTCGCCAGAACCAGGAAGCCCAGAGCTCCAGGGCTACTAAGGCCCAGCCCACCTGCAAGCCTCAGGGCCTCTGCTGACTGCCCTCGGCGCCCCCTGCCTGCTCCCTGTCTGTCACCCCGCCCCAGACATTGCCCTTGAGACCCCAGCCTTCAGCCCTCTGTCCTGAGACTACAGACTCCATCCAATGTTGTTCATGGCCCAGTGTTGGCCCAAGACAGGGAGGAGGCCCTCTCTGGCTCCTCCAGCTGTCCAGCTGAACAGGCCAGCAATGGGTCACACAGGGACCTCTGCTGGCCCCCTCCCACCAGCAGGGCCAGAGCTTGACAGGGATCTGCAGGAAGTACTGAGGGTCCCCGCTGGGGCTCAGCCCAGCTGGCCCACCAGAATGGGTGCGTCTGCGCTTTGGGCACCCGGCCAGGCAGGGCTGCACCACACAATTTTCTAAAAATGCCACTCCGGTCTTAACCAGGCAGTTTGGGACCGTGCCCACGTAGCCCTTGCCCCCGGGTGTCCTGGGCCTGGCTCCACCTCTGGAGATGATGGAGCCAGCCTGTAAAAGGGGAATCAAGAGCCCGTCTCTGCCCTCCCCAGTGGGCTGGGGCTGAGGAAGCAGCTGTTGGCACTGGGTGGCCGATGGGGCTCTCCTTGAAGAACTGCAGGCAGAGAGGGCACCGCTTGGGGAGGGAGGGGAGAGTGAGGCCAGGTCACAGAGGTCCCCAGTGCCCAGGAGGACAGCCAGCTCCTCAAGTGTCCCGTGAATTCACTAGGGGGCCGCAGGAGGAGAAGCAGGCAGGGAAATCCAGGTGGGCACCGGAGGAGGCTGCCACAGAGTGATGCTGCGCCCGCAGGTGCCTGGGCCTCGACCGCCAAGAACAGTCCCAACGCCAGCAGCAGGAAGGACGAGGCCTCCGGCCAGCTCTCCGACATGCCCATGGAGTCCCAGGTGGAGGAGCTGACCACCAGGTGCTCCCCTGCCCACAGTCCTGAAGGGGGGTTTTGCCAGGATGGAGGTGCTTCTGTGGGTAGATAGTGGGGAGGGGGAGAACGTTGTCCCTTCAACTTCCATTTGCTCACAAGGCCAACCCTGGGCTCTAGCCTGTGATTTAGGGTCTGGCCATCCTGCAGAACCCTGGTGACCCCAGGCAAGGGCTGCCCAGTCCACTCTCCTCAGTCCGTCCTCAGTTAAGCGCAGTGACGGGGAAGGAGGCGGGGGACCACTGCTGGTGATAGCGCATTCCTTGTGCGCCCAGTGTTTGCTGGGGCTGTCAGCCCAGAGAGGGATCCTGCCCGGTCATCCCCCAGGATGGGTGGGGGCAGGGCAGTGAGGTACCCTGAGCTGAGGAGTGGCCTTGCTGGATGCCTCACCCCCAGCCAGGGGGCCCCTCCTTCTCTCTCTCTC